CGGCGCACGGCGGATCTTGCATGGCGGAAAAGCGCTTGCTTTCTGGCGGGAGGAAGTCTTGACAATTTAAACCGCCGAGTACTGAGAAAGGCGAAATGGTACACACCAAACGATCATAGTCGATGTGGAGGAAGCCGTGATTCGGCCCTTGAGGAGGATGAGGCCGGGCTCGTGCTCGTTGGGATACATTTGATTCACGGAGCTGCATGTCGGAGCAGCCTTGTCTGAGGTTATGGTGGCCAACAAAGACAACTGCCTGTTTCACGAAAGCCCATGGGCGAAGGTGCGCCGCGCGGCATGACACAGCAACATGCAGCAATGTACCGTTGGGACAAGGCATGGTCGAATCCTGATGCTGCCCATAGGCTCTGTACCTTTTTTATCTGGACAGCAAAACGGCCTTGGCTGTTGGGCCTTGTATTCTTGGGGTCTATCGTAAGACTGACCCTTGGGTGACCCTGTGTGTGATGTGTAGGAGTTCAGTATCTGCCGCGTTTGTTTTCAACTGCGGTCAGGTCGTGCTTGCAGTAACTCAAGTCCTGAAAAGTGGGTGAAGCCGCCCTTCGTCCCCAGTCAAGTTAGTTCGTAGAACACGCTTTCTCTTCTTCATTCAGTTATTGCCCACTGAGGGAAAACTTCATACTGCGTCAGCTACTTGCAATTTGGAGCACGCTAGATCGCGGTGCTGGTGCTTTCCTTTCGTCACATTCCTCTGATTGTTTCGGTAATTGCTTGTTGAGGAAAAAGCTTCATGCTGCATGAGCTATTTGCAATTACAGTGCACTGGAATTTCGCACTGAGATTTAGCTTTCATTACCCAGCTGCCAGGTTTTCTGGCTTGACAAGGGCTCATTCCTTGCGACTGGGCGCCGTCTGCGATAGGAGCGGCCGCCTGGACCGACGGCGTAAGTTTCTCGCAACTGGAATACACAGCGCTACTTCGCGGTTGGCCCATGAGAAAATTAGTGCTTGAATCCCACATGGACCGAGAAGATCTCGTAGAACAGCAGAGATCGGACAAGGATAGATGCGATCTTCGATGATACCCGCTTCTCCATCTCAGAACGAAGGACTCGTACTCGTCAGTGCTACCTCAACGGTGATCTGCCGGTGGCCCACGGCGCTGACTGATCAAACGTACAAAGCAAATCGACACTCCTACGATTCCTGCCGTTGGCACAGGCCGTATGCCGAGAGCATCGCACCTTCTCCAATCCGGTCGCGATCCCGGCCTAGCGACAGTCGTACCTAGATGATAGGCAGGGAGCGCAGGGTGCAAGGAGCAGCCAGATCTGTTGAGCGGCGAAAAGTTTGTCATAGCTTGCACGCAGCCTTGCGCCAAGGGGATCGCTCGCAAAGCTGATACCTATCTTCCTGACAAAGCGTCATTCTAAGGTCGACCCATGGTTCGGGACTTCCCATCTGGACGTCGTCGAAAGGGAGAATGCATACCCAGACCCACCCGGGGATATCCAGGATCCTCAGGGAGAGTACGTGTGCCTCGACGGCGCGGCACCGACCGCCAGGCAATGCCTACCGCAGTGTGCAGGGTACCTACCGCGGGAGAACAACGTCTCAAGGAGTCTATCATGCATCTGTGTTACCTGACTGACTCCTCCAAATGGGAAAGAACCAATCGAGAGAGCTTTTGCAGTCTGGAACTGCTCCAGCTTCTCTATTTTGCGAGTATGCGCAATGTGGAGATGGTGCCTCCACTGGATTTGAACATACACTGCACGGTTGAAAACACAAGGGTCATGTACCATACCGAACGCGAGAACAAATTCCTCTTCGACGCAATATCCCAGTGGTCGAAACAAACGATCGGGGCATCCAGCTCAATACCAACTGTTACCTGGGCTTGACTCCAGCCCACGAAAACATACATGCCACTGCCACCATATTAGACGCATTCACTTGTGCCCTTTCATTTTGTGCAATAGATCACTTGCAAGGGAGGTGCTTGGCCTGCGTTCTTCCGACATCCTCCGGCCACCCGTTGCCTCGAGACCGAAGATGCTGTCCTTCCTAGTGACATCGCTCGCAACGGCAACGCTGCCTTTCCTCGCGTTCGCAGTCGCAGCTCCACCTTCCGCCACAGTCACACTGGCACGGCGATTTGCGTTGGCGGCCGCCACGTTTTGGACTGCCTCTGCCGCTGCGGCAGCGTTGTCGTCAAGTGCCGCTTGCGACGCTCGTCGATCTCCCTCCATGGCGCTGGAGGCAGCACTGTGACGACGATAGAATCCGCTGTGTTTCCGCAAGAAGTCGTCATAAGTCTGATTTGCCTTGTAGCCAGCCCCGCCTGTCAGGGCATGGGGCATGGTGAAAGCACCCGACATTTTGGGAGGCAAGTACTGAGATTCGGTCGAGTTTTGAGTTCGGAGCACTTGAAGTTCAGTAAAGGTGACGAAACAAGGAACACACCAACGATCCAGCTGCAGTTGCTGAGCCGATCAATGCGTGCGGAGGAGGAATATCGTGGGCTGGCCCCCTCCCGATATGCTTGCTCGTTTGAATACGAAATCAGTGGTGAGCTCCGAACCTGCTTTGTCCAGTTCACTGAACTGTATTGCTGCACGTCAGTTGCGGCCACAGAGGCAACACGATAATACAAGTTCGAGCGCGCAATTGCCATTCCTCGGTGACTCAGAGCGAGAAATCACTGTACAAGTGACGTCTACATTCTGCTAGCTGCTATGATGGCAACAACAAAACAGTGATGAGTCGCAGAATGTGGCTGGGCCTGGAGCCGGCAGAAAAAGGGGTCTTACCAGGATGAAGACTGCAACAATACGATGGAGCTGGACTGCTGCTGCTGTGCAATGTAAGCATCTCATGGTGTGAAAGGTGAATAAGGAGCTTTACTGACAGGAACGGCAGGAGTGGCTGAACTTTGCAAGAGAGGTAAGACGAGAATTACGGTCGTGCTCGCTCGGATGAAGCGGTGTATATCGTTTTCACACGATTGAGTGATTAAATGGAGGAGTGGGAAGGAGACGGACAATTGTCAAAATATATGCCTGCCTCGTCAAGCACCGAAGGAGAAACTTACCGTCGCCTATCTATGCCACGAAGCAACATCTTCCTCTGATTGTATTCATTTCATCGTGTTCTCAACCGTGGAAGATGACTGGTGAAGCGATTCGACGTCCCCCGCACTTTGCAGGCCAGTTGACGATGGAACACGAAGCGGGAACGAATGACGAGGTGTCGCTCTCGGAGAAACTAATTTCCAAGCCAGTGGCTGTCTGAGTCTCGCTCGATTTCTCGGAGGAGCGCCTCTGTCGCCTGATGCTGCCAGGGTTGATGAGGTGACCTGTGGTTGGTGTGCTGGAAGACGAAGACCAGCTGAGCCTGATCGGCCCGATGTCGCAGCCTCATGGATTCTTGGCACATGTGACTTTTGGCGGAGTAATGTCCATCCGTCACCGAGCTCGACTTCCAGATTCTTCACGTGGTGGCGTACAATTGCATCACCACGTCGGAATGTATGACGGCCGTACTGCCTGATTGAGGCTCGGATGCAGTGCTCTTTACGAGTACGTCGGATGCCCCTCCCAGGCTCCTTCGCCATACCGTGTATCCACTGGACAACTCTGGACAATTCCGAACCTAACTAAACTCGACTCGCAGTCGAATTATTCCCTCGGTTCTATACCCAGTACTGGTCTCACACAAGGCTCGTGTCTGTATTGCTTTGACTATTCCACCCTCTGACCCGAATCCTTAGTTGCCTCGGACACATCTCTGAACAAGGAGTGATTTGGGTGCAATAGTGTACCACCCTCCTCTTTCGCTGTTTCATGCAAGGATCAAACCCGCGGTTATTTGCCTCAGCAGTATTTCAAATCGGCACCGGCATCAAACCCATTCGGATATCTGCCTGCGCGACAACTCGTCCTCGCCCACGCCGTCTTGCGGTTCTTACTTCCTCTCACAGTCGCGTCGCCTCCCAACTCCCCAGCTCCGTCACAGAGAGTCTGCATCATTCCCGCTCGCTCTCTTCTCTTTCTCATATCCCCCCATCCAAGCCCACCATGGCTTCAGCAACGAGCTTCTTCGACTTTACACCGAAAGATAAACGCGCGCAGGAGTACCCTCTTTCGCAGCACAAAGGGAAGGTCATCCTTGCTGTCAACACCGCCTCAAAATGCGGCTTCACACCCCAGTTCAAGGGTCTCGAAGAGCTCTGGAAGAAGATATCGCAGAAATACCCCGACCAATTCGTGATCCTCGGGTTTCCATGCAATCAATTTAGGAACCAAGATCCTGGTTCAGACGACCAGATCCAGGAGTTTTGTCAACTCAACTACGGCGTGACCTTTCCAGTCTTGGGAAAGACTGACGTCAATGGCAACAAAGCAGAACCGGTGTGGGAGTGGATGAAGAGTCAGAAGCCGGGCCTGTTGGGTCTGAAGCGGATCAAGTGGAATTTCGAGAAGTTCTTGATCGACCGGGACGGGAAGGTGGTGCAGAGGTGGGGGAGTGTCACCAAGCCCGAGTCGTTGGAGAAGGACATAGTCGCTCTGCTTGAGAAAAAGTCGGGCTAGAAGCCGAGCAGAAGAATATTGGCCCGGAAGCTATTCGCGGGGGTGAACGCCGTGGACGGACGCAAGAGCAGGATGTTGTATCTTGTCTTGCGGCGATCGGCACAGTCATGGACGTCAACTCCACGAGATCGAAGGGATCAAATTGTTATCGTTCGAACCGGAGTCGGACTTGGTGATGTGGAGCTTTTACGAGCGAGAGAAACGCGCGGACGATACCCAACTCATTCGAGTACCGACAGTTTTGTCAGCTATGTCAGCTATGACAGCTATGCGTGAGCTTCCCCAGCTCTAAGCATTGGGAAAAACTGTACGCAGCAAAATATCATTGTTATTGATCATCACCCAGCTCAATAGAAGCACAGTCCATCCTGACTCCGATACGCCATCATGCTCACGCTCATGCTACCTATGGTACAGGTCGGGGACAGGCGCCTCCTTCCATCATGGTCATCGCTTCGAGGGCGAGACGTCGCGACCGGGCACCATCGAGTCGTGCTCAAAGGGGTTGTCCAACTCCAACCCGGGACTCGACCCCCGAGCTTCCCAATGTTTGTACGTCGCGTCTGGATTTCTGGGCCCCGTTATGACCAGTTCCACATCGCCTATATCGTCGTCGATGTGGCGGTTCTTCTCGGCTTCTTGCGCGTGGCTCTGTTGGCGCTTGCGGCGGACAATGACAAAGAGGACGATGCCGAGGACGAGGAAGAGGCTACACGTCGGCATGTCAGCCAAAGTCACACAACACTGGTAGAGGGAGCGCCAGGTGCTAGGTGCTGTAACTCGAGGGAACCGAGGGAGACAGATAGAGTTCGTCGCCCATCATCGCAGCGGTCATGCACAGTACGCCGGGGACTTCACTTCACGATGCCATGCAAACTCACCATAGACCAATGATCAGGGGCACCCCCGTTGTCAGGAACTTGCTGGTGTATCTTTCGCAGGTGTCGACCTCGTCATTGTTGACGCAGTCGTCTCTCTTGTATAGTGGCCGCCACATCTTTGGGGGGTTGGTTCCTTTTTCCTTGCTGCTCAGTGGCGGGTTTGTCTATCTTTTTCTTTGTTTGTTTATGTCCTTCGTATTCCGTCCTCAGTGTCTGGGCCGGCGGTACCTCGGTAGAGTACAGTCAGGGTGCTTGGCGCAAGCTAATGCATTGATCAGAGGGCTCGATTGCTTGTCGAGTGGTTCAATCGCTGTGTGTGTGTGTGTGTGGGGATGAGGGAGGTAAGAGTGAGGTATGGCAGACGAGACAGAAAACAAAAAAAGTCGAGTTGTTTGGTCTTTTTGTCTGCGGTTAAACTCAAGTGAAAGGGTGAGTGAAGTCTGGCTGCGCGGCGGGAGCATTCATTTCATCAATAAGGTACCTTACAGAGTACACAGTGACCGCCGTGCCCCTGTAAGGGTCCCTCGGCCCCAAACAAAGCCCGCGTCGATGGAACGCGGAGAATCGAAACTCGTTCTTGAAACAAGGGGCGGTCGTAGCCGCGCCAGCCTTTCCCTTGCGTGCTTGCGATAGGGGCGACTCGTGGTGCCTACGTCAATGCTGGGTCCCTTTAATTTACGATCGGGACATGATGCGCCATGGTCACTCCTTACAGTACGGAGTCACGGAGTACACAGACTTTAATCTGCAGCGGTGGTTACATGTCCACTTTACTACTACTCGTAGCTGGAACAGCGAGGGATAGCCAATATTGATGCCATGGTTCCTGCTTGAACTTTGCGAAGAGCTTTTCTAAATCTTACTCACCCAGTCCGAAGACAAAGTCATTTTCATAACTATCACAAACCCGTCGTCCAGACACCCGGTGCATATACAGTCGACCATTGAGACGCCAAACCTTCAATCCGGTAACCACATCCCTTCAACGATCCCCCAAACTCCGTTGCTGATGCGTCTAGGCATGTCCTGCCGATCTCCAATATAGCCCGGCATCTCAGCCATAAATTCGCTCAACCGACGTTCAAGCTGGATGAACCGCATTTGCACTTTCAAAACCCTTCATAAACTCCTCCACCTATGCGTATGCTCTTGTATGGACCATCCTCCCGTTTGCCCTATTAGATTGTTTGATGCCTGGCACTCCGACCTTCATCATCGCCTAGGTAATCGTCCGCGAAGTCTTGCTCCTCGATGGAGTCAGTCGTGCTGATTCGTGAAACCGCCAGCTGCCCAGCTGCGTCATCTACTTCGATGGACTCGCGCACCGACTCGCTCATCGCGGAGTCGTCCATGCTCTCCCGCGAGATGAAGCTGTCGTCCATGCCATTCTCAGATGCAACTTCCGCCTCGTCCTCGTCTTCATCCATATCGTCCTCTTCGTCCTCTTCGGAATCTGTTGGCGTGAAGTCTTCGAGGTCTTGCGGTGTGTCTCGCCAATATGTGAAGTCAGTATACTCTTCGCCTCCCTCCCTGACCAGCGTTGAAATTGGAGGAAAGAAATGATCCACCAATTCTCGCATCGTCACGTAGCTGCTGCGGTATTTGTTCAGCGTCAAAAGATCCAGTGACACTTTCCCGTTGGTGTCGATGGTGAAAATTCGAGCTGAAGGGATATTGACACTCCGATAGCTCAGTGCATCCGTGAATCGGTTGCCAAAGCCAGCATAGAACGGATTCGTTTTGCCCGGAAACAGATTGAGGATATCTCGTAGACAAGCCATCTTGAACACCTCGGGTTTTCTGAGATATATCTCCCGCCGTAAAGCGGCAATGGTCCGGTCCGGACTCATGATGACAGGGCCTTTGGGAAGCTTCCATCCTTCTTGGACGATCCCGTTGAGGTACGCCCGTGTCGTGTCGGCCTGGCCCACGGATCGGCTTGTCAGGTAGAAGATATTGTAGCCGTTGGCCACGATGTCCGAGTAGAGCTTCGCGACACCTACATGGGTCCAATCTCTGCCAACCATGTTGAGCAAATGGCCGAGGGCGTCTGATTTTGTGATTGTGCCGTCGATATCAGAGATAACAATTGGCACGTCGGCAGTCCATAAATACATATACGCTGTACAAGTGGCTCGGTTGACGGTGAAGGACATTTGGTTTTCGCCGGGCTTAAGCTCGAGGGATTTGAGCTGATCGCTGGTCAGCCGCAAGGTCTTTGCAAAATTTCGGGTTTGATCTCCAGACGGCCGAGAATTTGGTAGCTCCTCCGACTGTGCTCTCTGGTGGCCGGCTTTTTTGGCGGTAAGTTGTGGAGAAGCACTTCGATCGCTATCGCTGTGATATCCTGGGTCTGATGCATTATCTGCCGAAAGAGTGGTCGACCCGAGGCTATAAGCCGCGGTTCTCCTGGCTGCGGCATCTCGGGCCTCCTCACTGCTGTAGATCCATAAATTACCGTGTTCGTCAGTCCCTATCAGAGAACCGATATCGTAGTTGCCTTCAAGTTCTTCAGACAGAATTTTCCTAGCTACGGCTTCAGCTCGCAGGGCTTCGGGCTCAGTCGTTTTGTAGCCCGTCATGTCGAGCATGAGATCTCCGGACTCCGTGACTTGAGATCGTATGTTCGAGGAGGAGAGTTTCTTGGAAAGGGTCATTGCTCGGTCGTAAGCTTGTTGCGGCCTTAGTGCTGGTGGGCTTGCGGACGCTCTCGGAGTGGCCGACCCTTCGAGACTGGACAGAGGCCGAGTGGGAATGCCATTGTCGTGGAAGGAAGCCTGAACAGAATCCAACTGCTGTCTGGTGGCAATTGGGAGTACCTCCTCCGAAGCTGCTCGTTCCAACACACCCGGGGTCCCGAGGGCTGCTTCGACTAGAGGAGTTCCAGTGGGGTCGGTGTTGAAATCCGGCAGTGAGGAGGCTTCGCGTTGGTCACTGAGATTTGTTCCTCCTCGTCGAATCATCGGGACAGGGGGGGTGTCACGTCCCTTCCCTGTCTCAGTGATATCCAGGTACGACGGCTCCGACAGACCTGGAGAAGGCGGTCTATCAGACGCGTCGATAGGCGGACTGTTCGCAGGAGATATGAGTGGAGAGGTCTGCATTGCCTCGGGGATGTCATTAGACGTCTCGAAGACGAAAAAAGCTTCGCCTCCGTCCCCCAACTTCATGGCGTATGGCTGAACGACGCCATTGACTTTGAATTCAACTTTCTTATCTGAGGGCCGTAATAAAGAGAACTTGCCGAAGCGGACGTGGAAAGGTGAACATGCCAGCGATCCGTCTGTCTGTTCGATAACAATGACATCGATCGCACCAGACAAGGTCGCGGGGTTGATTGAATTCCAGGTCTTGGAGACGCCGCTCCCTAAGCTCCGAACGTACTGCATTGTGACTGCGGTTGAGTTCGGCGTAGACTGATATGGCGCGGCGTAGTTCTCGGGATTACCACATAATGGCGGGAAGCCTGACAGAGAGCAGCACCGCACGGCAAGGCAACGCTAATGTGGCTAAAGTACAAGTCAGAGCTCCAGTGTGTCGTACAAATCACGTCGAAGAGCACAAGCAGAAACGAAGCCCTGGAAGAAGAACGACTGCTATGATACAGAGGATGGGATGTCAAGGATGGGGGAATGGGAACCGGGTTGGGGTCAGTCAGAGGAGAATGCCGGATGAAATGAGCGAGGCGTGATGCGTGATGCATGGCATGACAGCATTTGGCATTTTGTCGGGAAACGAGCCTTCCCATTTTGGGCGTGGCCTTCTTTCCCCAGATTTGCCTTTCGCTTGGCCTGCATCTGGTTCTTGAGTTCACCTTGCGCCCACTTAATTAGCACTTGTGAACTGCATTTCTTCTGCCCTATCACTTTGTTGACCAGTCGACGTTATTACTGTCTTGCCAAGGGAATGCAGTGATTCAGCGATCCGTAAATAAACCTGTCGCCTCTGTTGCCGACATGAGCTCGCCAGCGAACCCTCCTGGGCCCCTCACTCCTCCTGCAGAGCCAGCAACTCAGCCATCTCAACCGATACAAGCCACACAGGCTACAGCACAACCTCCGGTCGAGGCGCTTCTCTCGCAGCCCTTGACCTCCCTGTCAGATGATGGCAGTTCTAGACGGCCACGAGACCATCGACTAATACATCTACTCCTCGCGTCCCATGGCATCAGCGCCTACCAGCAACGTGTTCCTCTTCAGCTGATGGATTTTGCGTACCGGTACACTAGTTCTGTTCTCAGTGACGCCTTGTACATCCAGAATGAAGCATACGACCAAGCAGATGGAGGTGCCCAGGCCAAGGGACGAGGGTCGAAGCAGAATCAAAACAAGACAGAAGAAGGAGACATCAGTATAGGCGCGCTACGGATGGCCATCGGCTCAAGAATGGGCTATCAGTTCCAAGCAAGTCTGCCGAAAGAGTTCCTGAAGCAGCTTGCAGACGATCGAAACCGGATATCACTGCAAGCTCAGACGAGAGATGGCGATAAGAGTGGTCCACTGGTGGGAGGTGTCCGACTACCACACGAGAAATACTGCCTGACGGGAGTGGGCTGGGGACTGAAGGACGAATGGGACAGCGAAGGCGAAGAGAGTCTTGCTGAGCCAGAGGCACAAGAGAGGCCAGAGCCGGAAGATCTCATGCAAATGGATGAGAGAGAACACGATGCAGAACTTGAAGGCGAGGGAACCATGGAGGATGTGTTTGGACCCAGTGAGGACAAGGACGCTGACGGAGATGTTGAGCTGTCATAGAAGGACAGGCGAAGAACCAGTGCAGGTGGTAAGATATCCGTCGACTACGGGGTAAGGCGGCCGCGAGATCTACGCAGTCCCAGACGTATTACTGGCAGGGTCACGCGCGTCAGCGGCATCCGCGGCGGTGGAGCCAGCAATGGTGAAGCAGCTGGTGGTACGACTCTGATATCCGACGGTCGATGGCCTCCCGACTGGACTGTGGGCACTATCTGGGAGGCTCGAACTACCTTTGATGGTGCTACTGATGCTACTCCTTCTCCTCACGAAAGGTTTTCCGAACCTATCCCAATGCCGACGACCGCTTTCACCACCACGGAAGAGGAGTCTGGCTGGACTGGTGGTGATGACGCATACCCAATTATGCCTCCATCCGACGCGAGCAGCAGCCAATTGGAGGAGTTCGCAGTCCCTTCCTCATCCACGGAACCCTTTCAGAAGAGGCTGCCCGAGTACAGTGTCTGGGAGTCCAACTCCGACGCAAGCAACAGTCTGATTTATACTCCAGCGTCCTTTCTCACTTCGCCAGAGTCGGTTTACACTTCAGAAGGACGCTCCGGCTGGAGTAGGGAGAGCTTTACACCTTACTCTACGCCGACAGAATGCCAACGGTCACTGCTCTCCCCAAGCACGCCAATCCAAGCTGAACAGCTTCATGCCGATACCCGGCAGGTGGCGCAACCTATCTGGCAGTACTGTTCCTGGGTTGATCCTATCACAAACCAGCGTTGTCGTCATAGAGAGGTTCTGCTCGTGCATCTAAAGCAACATGAGATGGCTAAGCACAACCTATGGCGCTGCCGTATGCCAATTCCTGATTATGACGAGCCTTGCTTCCTAGCGTTCGGACAGTCATCTGATCTTAGAGCACACCAGTGTGCTGCCCACCCGGATCAATTCATTTGTAAAGTGATTGATCCTAAGACGAACAAGCCTTGCGGAACCAAGTTTGCCGATCTCTTTCGGCTCGGCGAACATTTGAGAGCTTTCCACGACTCCGAGCGCAACATGGGCTAAACCCAAACAGCTCGGCCGCGCAGGAGTCGTGCGACTGGTCATTCCGTCGGACCAGTAGCCTCGAGTGCCAGAAGGTCAGCGTCCACGCTTGGTCAAGTCTGCTCATTGATTCCACGTAGGTGTCGAGCCCGTGTCCGCGCCAACACCCCGTCACTAGCTGATTTCACGGATACTCTATGCGAAGAGGAAGTTGCGCAAGTCGAGAAGAGACTGAGGGAGGCGTGTGATTGTCATGGCTTTTGCTCCCATGGCCCTGGCAGATACTTTTGCGGCATGATGCTAATGTAGTAGCTTCGAGATTGAGACCTTCATCATCTGGTCGTGATCGGGCGACATTGCGAACGGTCGAACCTTCCTGGTGGCGTATGTTCTCGTCTATACACAGATTGCAGAAGCGACAGCTTTCTTTGCATTCAGAGACTGGCCTGATGGTCCATCATTATTCAACCATGTCGCGAACTCTTCATCTAATCCATCTCCAGCACGTGTTCATATTTGATCATGTAGTCCGAATCAACCTGCCAAGGCGCCGAGTTTGCAGCGAGCCGGCGGTGGGACTTTTGCTTCCCCAACTTCTGCGCTGCCCACTTCTACTGGACGTCCAGTCATTTGAGAAACCGTATGCATGGCTGGTCACCATCTCTATGACTGACTCCCGCGAGTATAATCGAGCGCATGCCTGCCCTACCTGTGTCGTGGATGGACTCATCTAGATGGCCTCAGGAGTCGCTCGACTGGGCATCCTACGCCTACCAGCACCTCGCGCCCAGGGTTAACGTCAAAGGTCGAATGGCGCTGCTCGTTCTCGTTTTTGTCGTTGGGGCTTTCGCATGGTATGGCACTTGAATGTCAATGCTCAGCGACTCCGGCTAACAGTCTAGGCTGCTGTACCGTGCGTATCAGGTTCTCACTACCTCGAATGAGATCCTGATCGAGAAACTCGGCCTCGACATCCCACCTGCGCCCGTCCTGGTTCTCGAAGGAATCTCCTCACAAGAGATTCACCTGTCCTGGAAATATGCAGAACCGTCATCGTCCGTACAAGAGCACCATGTCGAACTCAACGGGTCCCTCATTGGGACTACGAAGAAGACCGAGATGGGTGCCGTCATCTCGGGACTCTGCCCCGGAACCAAATACGCAGTCCGCATCTTCTGCATAAGCACGAGTACCTTCCAAACTCCTAGCGCCGCCTTGCACGTTCGTACCCACTATCTTCCAGAAGACATCGAGGCGCCGGAATTTGATCCGACCGTCAAAGGCGTACCTGTCCGCAATGCCTCCCTTAGCGCCCCACTGGCTGCGCCCTCAATGACTCGTGATCTCAGCGGGGGACAGCCTCCGGGTAGGAGGGGCACAACTGGGCGAAAGCCGTCGCCCGCAGGGTACGTTGTCGATGCGCAGGGCCAGGACGGGCCCAGAGGCGAAGAGGACGAGGAGGACGAGAATCTAGCGGAGTTGTCGCAGAAATTTCAGAAGATTCAGCAAGAGATTGATGGTGTCGAAGCTCTAATCGAAGACGAGGATAAAGATTTTGAGGCTAACATGAGGGTACTAGAGGCACGGCGAGATGAGCTGAAGCAGGCCCTCAAAGAGCGTGATGAGCAAGCCAGTGATCTTCGAAAGCAAGTCAACAAGGCTGAATCTCTCAGTCGGACCGCTCAAAGCGAAAAGACCAAAAAGGAGCGCCTGCTGCAACAAAAGGAAAACGAGCGGAGGAAACGGCGCGACGACATTTCTCGATGGGAAGAGGCGACCGCTGCGATGAAGGAAGAAATTGCCGGCATCGAGAAGCAGAAAGCCGCCATCGAGCGGCGGACTCAAGCGGAAATCAGGGAAATCCGTAGGAAGATCGAGGAAGAGCAGAAGGAGGTCGCCATACTCGAGGAAGACAACAAGGAAAAGGCACTCCAGATTAAGGTCCTGGAAGACGAGCGGCAGTTGCAAAACGCAGACGAGGAGACGGACGAGACAAGAGAAGTTGATCGACTTGACCGTGAGCGTGATGAGAGATGGCGAGCCAGATTCAATACTATGCAGCAGACCTACGCCAACCTTTGGGCCGAGTTACAGTTTGTCAACCAACAGGTCATGTACACCCGGGATCAAATCAAGCAAGTCGAGACAAGGAAAGCCAACACTATGGCATTCACGCCTATCGCACCGCTGGATATGGATGCCATTCGGCGCGGCAACAGACCAGTCCGACGACCACGACCTGCTGGCTCGCTTGGAAGTAGCATTTCTTCGCCACGCGGTCCCTTCGCAGGACCTGAGCCGTTCCCTCCCGGATTGCACTATGCATCGGCCACTACTTCTTCGCCAACTTCGAATGTGCAAGGATACTTCAACTTCTCAAACGGCATGACATTGACGGTGCCTGGGGAGATGGCCCCGTCTACCCATGATGATCTCGACACGATTTCCTCGATCCCAATGAGTCCTCGTGCAGATTCGCTCTTACCTGCGGATCTTCTTGGAGATGAATCTGCTGATGATATCCCCGATGTCGAGCTGCCTGAGCCGAAAGAGAAACCAGAGACCGGCATCACGCCTTTCCCGAAAATTGGATCGCCAATATTACATCCGGACAGCGGTCGGACTGAGTCTCCGAGTGTCGGTTCGTCGTCCGGGCAGTCCTTCTCGAGTCCCATGCAGACGTCGGCACCAGTCGAAGCCGATGAGAAGTCGTCTAGCTCCGACAAGAAGTCTGAAGAACAGGCAGAGGAGGATGAAGTCATCCAGCAACCGAAGAAGCCCAAATACACGTCCATGTCGTCCATGTTTGGTCTGAACAGACAACGTGGGAAGACTCTAGCCGACCAGCCGCCCATTCTTGGGTCGCTCAAACCTGGTCAGAGCCAGTCATTCCCAAGAAATGTGGAAGGCTTCGATCCGAGACTGGAGCCTAAGCGTCGCCTTAGCTATGGGGGCAACTGGGCATTCCCGGGGTCGGCACTTCTGCATAGCAGCGAGGCAGAAGAGAAGGAGTCGGCCATGTCGCGCTTCGCTGCCACCAGGCGCGCATTCGGTTTCGGCGGATTTGGAAAGTCGGCAGCGGCTTCTGCAAATTACGATCCTTTCGCAATCAGATCGGCGTCCTTTGACCCTGGTCTTCGAGGGGACACTTCGTCTCCTCGCCCAGCATCGACTTACTCTTTCGACAAGTTGCCGCGGCCGTCAATGGAGAGCCAATTCCGTGCCTGGAACGACAAAACAGTGCTGCGGAATAGTCCTTTAGCACCAGAGTGGGGTTCATTGCATTCCTATTCTCGCAGCCATTCGCGCCGGCCGTCAATCGTCCACGGGTCTACGAGCAATCTGTCACTTGCACACGGCGACGAGGAAGTGATCGAACCGGATAGGAAACCTTCTCGTCCGCTGCAAGCACCCATTGGCACGCGGCCCGCGTCATCTCAGCAGTCCTCGACACCCAAATTGAACCCAGCCGCCCCGTCATTTACCACTTTGTTTGGCCGGAGGAGTGATAAGGGCAAGGAGAAAGACAAGAACAAGCCCAAGGAGTCGAAGGAAAGGGTGAACGATCTGGAGGCAGGGTCTCCGCCTGAGTCCAGGAAATCCAAGGACGCCAATTCCCTTGCCGCGACCGTGTCCACGCTCGACTCTGAGACGCTGGACCGGACCCAGTCTGCGACCAGCGCTCAATTGTCTGTCGAGAACGCCCCCGCGAAGCCAACATTCATTTCTAAGATCACGCGCAAGGCCAGCAGCAATAAGTTTGGAAGCTGGAAGGAAAAGAGCGGCGGCTTGTTCTCGAGAAAGGATGCCGCCACCCCGAACGGTGACAACGAGGATGAACAAGGCTCGACCGATAATCTTGGAAAGAGTCTGGAAAGCATCTCTACGACGCCGACCACGGAGGAGAAGAAGGCCAGCAGGACGAGTCTGAGCAACTGGAATTTCATGCGCAAAAGCAAGAAAGGATTGAAGGAGGATTTGACGGCCAGCGAGATTAGTGAAAGTAGTGAAAGAGCGAGTGAGATTGGCGAAGAGAGGGACGATGAGCTTGAAGCTTGAGTTAAGGCGTGAATGTCCATGATTCAGATTAATGTTGCTATGTAGCATGCTTCCGCATATCAAGTCGTCTGTGATGCAAGTTTCTCGCTCTAGATCCGTGTCCTGATGCCGAGTGACTCAGTCTTGTCTCATAATCTCATTGCACCTTGCACAGTTCAACCACCTCACTTTGCACACATTTGGGGAGATTCTTGGTGTAATTCGTGGTCGCAACCAGAAATGACAGTGTCCCAGCCACGGATATCCCAACGCGAATTTACAGATGGCCAATTCAAAGTCGGTGGTACATCACGTCTCGCGTGTACAAGATCTAATTTGGGCATAGGTATGAATACGTGCGCAATTTTGAGCGCGACGAGATCCTGCTGCCGAACACATGGATCGTCGTCAGGATTGATGGACGAGGCTTTCACAAGTACGTTTGTCCACGCTTTTGCAGGAGCAAGACTTTTCAGAATGCTTCGAGGGATGTCATCCTAGAACGATCTACTGAACGGGACGCAGGCTCTCCAGTCATTATGGCTTTAAAAAACCCAACGACCCGCGGGCGCTGCGCTTGATGAACCGCGCCGCCACGCACGTCGTCCAAGCAATCCCAGAGATCACGGTCGCGTACGGTGTGTCGGACGAGTACAGTTTCGTCCTCCAGCGAGATACGACGCTCTTCGAGCGGCGGAAAGACAAGATCGTCACGACCGTCGTGAGCAACTTTACGGCGGCTTACGTGCTTGGGTGGGGCGAGTGCTTTCTGGGAGAGGTATCCCTCAGAAGCCAGTCAGAAGGTCCTGCCCACGGGACGACCTTGACCATGGAGATGCTGCCGACCTTCGACGGCCGCGCCGTGTGCTACCCCAGTTGGGAGAATTTGCGAGATTATCTAAGCTGGAGGCAGGTGGACTGTACGTTCATGGCCTTTTCCTTGACCGACAGCCTGTAATGCTTCTGGCTCTCCCTTTCCGAAACCAATCTCACGCGGGCTATCCGATTCTGCTATATTCCGGTTGTGCTTTGTGCTTTGTGTTGTGTGTTGTGCTGTGTGATGTTGACCGAAGTGGCAGGCCATATCAACAACCTCTACAACACGACATTCTGGGCTCTCGTCCAGCAGGGAGGCATGACGCAGACTGCTGCGGAAGAGCACCTGAAAGGCACAGTCTCCAGCGACAAGAACGAGATTCTGTGGTCAAGATTCGGCATCAATTACAACAATGAGCCGGAGATGTATAGGAAGGGATCGGTCGTCTTTCGCGAGTATGCTCTAGAGGACGAGGCGAGCACAGGGGGAGCTGGGAAGGAAGGCGAGGCGGGGGTCGATGTAGGAGATGATCCGGGCGAAGGTACAGGGGCGTCAGACCCGATCTCGAAGAGGCAGGCTGAGAAGGTACGGAAAGCCAGACGGAAAGCCAAAGTCGTGACGAAGCACGTCGATATTATCAGGGACGAGTTTTGGATTCAGAGGCCATGGTTACGTAGCGGCAGGCCCGGTCGGCTGCTGGAAGACCAGCCCGGGTCCTGAAGCCTCATCAAGGTCGTGCATTGGTGCTCTGTACAGGAGAGACCTGAAAGGGCGTAAAGGTACCATGAACAAATCTTGCATCGTCATTAGCATGGCGCATTAGATAACCTGAAGAAGCAACCGCTCAGAGGTATCAATTCGAGGGTCCTGCAACCCTCTCAGCCTTCCTCCGCTTGCGCTCCGCCTTTCGTGCAGCCTTCGCAGCAGCATCTTCCGCGTCAAGCTCGGTCTTCAGCTCGACTTGTTGGCGCTTTTGCTCTTTCTCCTCGATCCGCCGCCGCCGGCGCTCTCGTCTTTCCTCTTTCGTCTCAACACGCTCGCACTTCTCTCGTCGTGCTTGGTCTGTCAGAAGCGGCGTGCCTGCTCCGATCTCGGCCTTTTCTGATTTCCGCTTCTTCTTCTTTGGCTGCTGCGTCCGCACTTCGAGGTATTCGCTTATTTGCTCAAACTCTGCAACAGGACTTGCGCGCATTGTACCACACCGACGCTTCTCGTCTTTGTCACGGAGGGCGAAGAAGACGCCGGCTTGTTCGAACTCTGAGGTGACCTTATCCTTCTTCACTTTGAGAATCTTGGTCGTGTCATCTGCCGTGGCGTCTTCTCCCAGCACATTGCTCTTCCGTTTCTTTGACGACCGTGCAGGTATTTCCACTTTGTCGATCGTTCCCTCCATTTGCTGGCCCTTGACGAAGAAACTGTACAGCCCGCCATGTCTTCCGGCATATTCTCTTGAGGTTGGGGTTGATCTCCCACTGCTCCTTTCACTCTCACTCTTGCCGATATTTCCCAGCGCACTCTCGAATCCCTTCAGCCACCACTCGTTGCCTGCCTGAGGCTCATGTGCTTTCTTTCCGATTCCGAATCTTCCTTGCCGTTGAGAGATGGAGAGTGGTTTCACGCGACCGGTGCCGTTATTGCCAACTTTTGCTGGGTCGTAGGCAAGCCCTCGAAGGCCTTTTTGCTTGTACGGTTTTGAATCGAGCGAGTGGCCGGGTCCCGCCCAACCGAGGGCAAGCAAATGGGCGTGGGCGTCCATTCGGGCCCGATCTTGGACTCAAGGGATCCCTTGCATTGAATGCCGGGATTATTAGAGGACAAGAGATAACATGTCAAGCAGAGCACACAGGAGCACACCACTTATTCGCTCGAATCTAGAAATTTTGGCAGCGGGAAAACACCGGTACAGGTATCGGGCGTTTGGCAGCAACAGCCAGAAGGACGAAGTAGAACTGTGGCTGAGGTAAGTGGCTGAACGGTGCCACCGGCCGCAGTCACGTGGTGACACACGCCACAGTCGAGCCACGATATCTCGAGTGAGGCTTCGGTGTCTGAATGCATCTTCTGAGTCTCGCTTCATGACTCGGTCACAACCATCATCCAACTAGAAGTTCTCTCTTGGGTGTCACCATGATCTTCACATGGTCGTCTTTGTGGTTGATGAGTTCCTCAAATCCTTTCTGTACGACGTCGTCCAATGCAATCCTGGCGGTCACCAATTTCTCGAATCCCTCGAACTTCCCTGCCAATTGTTAGCTACAGTGCGACGTCAAGACAGAGACAAAACTTCTACCTGCAACGTAGTCGTCGACAGTCCTCTTGAAGTCTGACTCGGTGTAACTCATAGAAGCCCGAAAGATGAGCTCCTTCCTCATGAAATGTTGCATGGGAACAATGCACTGCTTGATGGTTAGATGTCGAGCTCTCGCGCGGATCATCCACGCACCTCTGTCTCCCAGCCGGCAACGTTGACATATGTTCCTCCTCGCCGGAGAGCATTCATGCCGTCCATCAGTCCCGGCATGATTCCAGCACAGTCAAAGACGATATCGACTCCCTTGCCATCTGTCAGTTCTCGACATTTGTCTCCGATCTTAACCTCCCTCGGGTTCAGGACGACATCGACAAACTTTGCGGTCTGCTCTTGCCGTTTAACGGTAGGCTCGCTGACAATGATATTGCCAACCCCGGAGGCCTTCAACACGAAGATGACGGCGAGACCAACAGGACCTCCGCCAAGTACGAGAATGTTCTTGCCGCGATAATCATCAAATCCGGATTTCCTCACCGCGTGCATCGCCACCGTCAATGGCTCGATCAAAGCAGCTTCAGACAAGGGCACAGAGTCAGGCAAAACGTGACAGAGTTCCTCGTTGACGGCAACGTATTCGGAGTAGCCTCCTCCATCGTTTGAATTATACCCCAGAAAGCCCCATCCTTCGCAGATATTTGTGTCGCTGCTATTGCAGGCGTGGCACTTGGAGCAAAATACGCGTGGATCGACCATCACAGGCTGGCCAACCTTGAGATTGCCGTTTGGCGCAACTTTACTGACCCGACCACAGAACTCGTGTCCCATGGTGACAGGCAAGACCGCCCCAGTCAAAGGATGTGGGCGCTCTTTCGTCGGAATGACCCGTGGCCCTGATCGTAAGTCAGACATACACTCGACGAGTAGTCGTTGGGAAGCTCGACCTACCGACCAGGTACTCGTGCAGGTCCGAGCCACATATCCCGCACCATTCAATCTCGATCAAAGCCTGTCCATCTCTGATCTGTGGCGGCTCAACCTCGTCAACTCTGAGATCTCTTCGCCCGTGGAACCTGGCAGCCTTCATTATGTCAGAATGGCACGAAGTCCTCTTCACGGGTTCGTCAGTGCTTTGGAGGGGTCCCAGGGATATTTACTCATGAAGACCCACGAGTACACGCCGTGTTCCCGGCTGGAGCCATGTGCCGGTTCAACCCCGACCGAGGTGCGCGGTTAGAGACCCTCCCCACCATCAACTCAATGCTGACACACAGCAGCCAATGAACGAAGCGGGTTGAAGCTGAAATACTTTTCAGGACGTTGATTGGAAAGGTACAATCTACAAAACCTCTTATTGTGTACGTACTTCTCTTCCGCACTGACTCTAGCCTACACCGAAGAGGGGACGAGCAGGATAGGTGCTCAACGGCCTGATCGTCCAGCTAATCGATCGTCCAAGGTACGTCCTCCTGTCTGGTGTACGGTGCTAACCTAGAACTGTCCTTCATGATCTCAGCCTCGACGCGTCCATTCCCCAGGAATGACCACATATTGTTGTTGAAGTATCGGAAGTTATAGTGCTCCCAGCGGACCACCTTCATGGTCTTCATGTAATGGAGGTTCTACCAGCATCAGAATGCGAGGCACTTCGGACAGATCCTGCGACTTACCGAGCCTGCCCAAATCCATAACTTCCCACCCGGGATATTATTCTTGTACCAGCTACTGCATGTTAGCCTCAGGTCCCTCGCAAGGCGACTCCAGGAATACCTCTTGCAGTCAAGGTTCCAGACGCTGCCAAGGTGCCATGCGTCGATATGCTCGTACAACTGCTTCACGGGTTCCATCTTAACTTCCAGTGCCCGAATTCCCTCCTCTTGCATCCGCTTCACGCATTGCAATATGTACTCGACCTGCACTTCATGCGAAGGAAGAGCGGAACCATTTGCCCAGTTGCCGCGGACGCCGTTGATCACGAAGTAGTTGGGGAACTTGGGCACTGTGACGGCCAGATAAACATGGGGCTCGGGGTTGAACTCATCTGCCATGTTGACCCCATCAACCCCTAACACCTTGAAACGAGGCGCGAAGGCGAGATTGAAACCTGTGGCACAAACGAGAATGTCGACCTCGTGGAGCCTGCCGGTGTCATCAACAAGTCCTGTCGACGTGATCTTCGTGATTTCATTGTGGACTGGCTCGACATCTGTGTCGTTGTCAGCCAGATTCTGCGGTACGGTTTGAACACTGACTGTCTTTGACAAGCGCTTCGAGATAACCGTCACCCGGTGTCAGTCTTCGGCCTGCACAAGTTGTCAACAACGGATCTCACGGATTTAGCAGTCCACCCTACATCCAGGCGCCCATTTAGGAATCAGCCTCTCCTTCAGCTCATCATGGCCAGGTCCGATGCGGCGATGCATTTCTTCCCGGATGAGTTTTTCTGCCATTTTCGACGTTTCCGACCCTGCAATGAACAGATCGAATCGAGAATTGAATCCTGACTCAAGCTTGTATCGATAATCGAACAGTGCCTGCCGATCCTCGCGGAAAGTCCTCTTCTCCTCTTCGGTATACCAATATTGCGCTTGCGGATTTTCCTTTTGGGACTCGTCTGGCGAGTGCTTCTTGTCTTCTTCTAGGATGTTGCCTCCAACAGGTGGCGAGATCCACGTCACCGATCGCATGAATGCTGTTACCTTTTTGGCCGTCTTCTGCACCTGGGGAATGATTTGAATGGCCGACGAACCCGTCCCGATTACCGCCACCCTCTTATCCGCATAGTCAACCGCTGGAACCTGTCAGTACTGGTGCACGGATGGGGCACCAGACTTACAAGTATCCCAGTCTGCGCTGTGGAGCATCGTGCCCTGAAAATCATGCAATCCCTCAATTTTGGGCCCTATCACAACATCAGCATCTTATGCAACCCATCAGAGCGTTGGAGTCCACATTTCCAGTCGTTGAGGAATCCAGTGCCATTGATGAAGACATGGCACCAGTCGTCAACCTTTTGACCTTCTACATCAATCTCGACCTCGTCTGCGAATTGTCAATCCCTGGAGTACCCAAGGCTACGTCACCTCTACTCACAAATGCCTTTCTCTTCGACCCAGACAGCCGATTGAACTCGGGAGTTGAGCTTGATGAACGGGTGAAGTTCGTATTTGGTCGCGAAGTCCTCGAAATATTTTCTGATCTCGGGCGCATATGCATAGAACGTCGACCAGTTCGGGTTCGGCTCAAATGAATATGTGTACGAGTGTGCGGGAATATCACAGGCGCACCCAGGATATCGATTCTCAAACCACGTTCCGCCAACACCCGGATTCCTACCTTGATGATCAGTATGTTTTGAATGCACTCGGGAGCCGACAAGAACCGACTTCTCATAACAGACGAGTTCATAATCCTTGAAGCTCTTTTTCAGCTTGTATGCCACCAACAAACCCGCAGCGCCGGCGCCAACGCAGATCACTCTTATCTTTCGTCGCTGAGAATGCCATTGAGGCTCCACAGAATAACCAGGTTCGCGAACCATGTCGAAAAGCTAACGCTGAATATAGGCAAAATGGCTTGTCGAGACTTGGACAACATGCAACACAAGAAAAGATATAACGAACTTCCCCCACTATCTTTCAAGAAGGTCGAGTAGTTGCTCCACCTGTGCCGTGTCTCTGATTCGAGTTCCGCTCACAGGAGTGCCTGCTATTACCTCTGCCGAGCTCCAACCAGTCAAACTCATCGAGGAGGGCTAGGGGAAAGGCCGGGACGGCTTTGCTATGCTCTTTACCATGCTCTGCACGCTCCACCCATCGCACGAGTCGGCAATCGACTAGTTGCGGGGAAATCAGAGCAAACAGCAGCTATGGGGAAAATGTGGGGCGGAACCTGAGAGAGAGACAGCGAGGCTGCAAACCCCATAAGCACAAGGTCGGACTCCGTTGGAGAAGGGCAGCGGCCAAGGTGAGATATCCGGACGAGGCCCATATGGGCGATCTGGGAGACGCCTCTTGGAGGCGGCAAGAAGAGCAGCTCATATCCTCGGTACTATTGCGCCGACTTTCACAAATCACAAGATAATATCGCAGGGCGTTCCTCTGCTAGTTTGCGTCTTGCCTCGGTTTCCCATCCTTCCTGTTTTCCAGCAGCATGGTCTTTCGGTCTGGGCCAGTTGCACCAGGCGTCGCCTTCGTCACGGGCGGTGCCCGGGGGCTAGGAAATGCGATCGGCGTATCGTTCGCAAAGGAGGGCGCGAGAGGCGTATGCCTGGTCGACATTCAGGACGATGCCACGTTCGAAGAAGGCAAGAAGGCCGTTGAGAAATATGGGGCAAAGGTATGGCTCGAGATCGTCACAAATGACCTTCACCTCATATGCTATCAATAGGTCTTGTGTATACGAGCAGACGTGACCAAGGAAGAGGACGTGGAGCGAGCAGTGAATGAAGCAGTCAAGGAGTTCGGAAGAATCGATTACGCAGCGTCAGTTCCCATGTTTGGCCTTTT